ATAAAAATTATGTTAAATCAAAATAATTACCTCACCAAGTTACTGACTGGCAAAATAAAAATTCATCAACATACAGAACTTGATTTTAGAAACAATGTTTAGAGACATGTTTGCAAGAGTAAATCTGCTTATCACTCATCCCCTACTCCAACAAATACAGATCAAGAATGGATATACTATTAGGAAAAATCTGCAAGCCATTCAATCCAAGACATGCTGTTCAACAATACTCCTTACAAATACTATGACAAAAGGCTCAAATGCAACTACTATTCTATCAAATTATTTTATTACAGATGATATTTGGATAAATAAATTATGAGTGAATTACATTAACAGTTTCATCATCAGACGACAATTTAAATTGTAGAAACAATATTAAAATCGTTATTACTATACATTTCCTCCCTTTAAAACAAACACCTAGTAAAGTATTAAAGTTCATAAACACTGTTCAGAAAGATGAATAACAGAACTATACTTTCCAAAAACCTCCATACATTGCATCTTGGCTCATGATCATCTCATACATGTGTCTTGTGTATTCAGGTGCACAAGGCAGAGAACTTTTCCCACCTTTTATACATGTACCAAACACTATCTTCCCTAAGTGCAACATACAGATTTCCACCATTTCCCAGCACCCCAATTAGGTTCTGGAACTGATAGTTACTACCACTACCAACCACCATTTTAATGCAAATATTTCCTTTTTGCAAAAACATTACTGAACTTTCAAAATTACAAATGTGAACCATTACAGAATCAATACATTAAATTATAATTTTAAGCTTCAGATGTCAACAAAAAGGAACCCAAATGTTAGACCACAATAAGATAGCTGTACTGTAACTGTTTTAGTGCTTTCACAGGTTTAGCCTTATGGACAAATATATGCCATGACTTTCAGTACATGCAACGGTGGGCCTTCAGAACAAATGCGTACACATTGAATTTTCTATGTACATCCAAAAATGTAACTTCTAAAGCATCTGTATAAATATAAACCTCATGAACTGAGTTACGGCAATAATAACGATAATGAATATTACTGTCTTCTGGGACGATTTACTGTGTAGCCTAGCAGATCTTTACTGGCATTTCTGAGGAATGCACTGCTGCCATTTTATACCTTCAACATGAAGGTGGCAAGTTCCTCTGAAACATTAACAACAATCTAGCAGATTACATGGTACAAAATTGTGGAAAATAAAAATTTTAAAAAATGCTTTCATGGGAGCCTCCTTTGTGTGGGTTATTTTAAAATGCTGACAGTAGCTAGACTATACAGCATCAAAGAGTAATATGCTAGATGAATGATGAATTGGAAAGGATATGGAAGGAAACACTCATGACCTGAGGTACTTTCCTGGAATTTACCTGGAGGAACTCATGAAAACCACGATAAACCCATCCAAGATATCCTGTGTACTAAGATTCAAACAGAGCATCTCCCAAATATGAACCAAATTGTTCCTCTCATTCCGACCTGTTCGATCCAAGAGACCTCAGATAATGACGACTTGTTATTTTTACTATATTACAGTATGTGTTGTGTAACCTCAGTTCCACCTGCTCTCAATTTACCTTATATCTCTCCCTGTAGAAGTGCCATTCCAATAAAGTGGAAAATCATTCAATCTTACACAACTTTATGAGATTATGAGTGTTATATATTTATGGCAAGGAAATGGAAGAGTATATCTACTATGATATGTATTACTAAATGCTAGTAAAATTAATAAGAATTTAAACAACTGCTTGCAAGCCTCAACAAATCCACACCCTGAACTGTAACATCAAGCCCAACTTTAACCACTTTACCATGAAATAATTATATTGTGACACATGGTAAAAGCAAAACATAAAGTTGTTCCTACTTAAGCATTATATCATTAAAGGAATGGGAGTAAACTGCCATGCATTCTTAATGTTGGCACTAGTTGGAGGTAAGATATCAGCTTCACAACCCATCCACCTAAATTAACTGTCTACTTTCTACCACAACTTGTTGGCCACAATGCCACTGTGTGGGCTCTTTAAAAAAATATGGGCAAAAATTTACTGTAAAATAATACACATGGAAGATGAGAGAGGAGGCCAAGGTCACATTTCTGCAAGCTTATTGCATTTGTCTGCCCTGTGACACCACCCTGTGAACATGCATTGTTTTTATATGAGTGCTTTTTCGACTTCATGTTTCGTTTTCTCTTTGATGGATGGCAAAATTGAGCAATGTCTGCATCAAGTTTTGTGTGAAGCTTGGTAAATCCCCTACCAGAATATCTGAAATGCTTCGTGAGGCTTTTGGAGAACATTCTTTAAGCCAGACAGTAATTTTTTAATGGCATTCACGTTTCAAGGCGCGTCGAGTGTCAGTTGAAGATGACTAATATTGTGGGCAACCAAGCACAAGCAAAACAACAGAAAATGTTGAAAAAATTCGAGAATTCACCCACGAACACCATTACCGAATAATTCACGAGCTCACAGATGCCACTGGAATCAGTTATGGAGTTTGCCAGGAAATTTTACAGAATATTTGAACATGCACTGCATTGCCATGAAGTTTGTTCCCTGACTCTTGACAAATGATCAAAAGCAGAAGCATGTAAACATGTGTCTTGAGCTAGGAGAGAAGGCTAATAAGGATACGTTTATCTCTAGGATCGTAACGGGTGAAGGAAGTTGGATTTACAGTTATGATCCAGAAACAAAGCAACAATCGTCACAGTGGAAAAGCCCACAATCACCGAGAGCAAAAAAAGACGCAGCAGGTTCGGAGTTCTACAAACAGAACTCTCATTTTTTTTTATGTGAAGAGGATTGTTTGTCAGAATTTGTTCCTCATAACACTACCATAAACTCTTAACTTTTACTGTGACGTTATGAGGCACTTGAGAGAAAATGTGCAACGAAAAAACTGGAACTTTGGTGCAACCAGAACTGGCTCCTTCATCATGAAAATGCACCCGCCCACATGTCCCTGAAAACCACAGAGTTTGTTACTAACAACAACATGGTTATTATTCCCCATCCTCCCTACTCTCCAGGCTTAGCCCTCTGTTATTTCGCTTTTTCTTTTTTCATATTGAAAATGAAACTGAATGATCAATGTTTTGAAACAGTGTGTGACATCCAAAGGGAATTGCAAGAGGTACTTGACAGCATTAAGGAAAATGACTTCCATGTTGCTTCTGAAGCGGGGAAAAATTTATGGGATCACTGTATATGTTCCCAAGGAGATTATTTCACATTTAGATGAGAGTCTGTTAAAATTGGACGATGAAGCAGAATAAAAAGTTCAAAATGTGAACGTAAAAATGGCAGTGCATAAACTGAAGTTACCCTCCAATATTTCAATAAAAAATACATACACTGTGAATACTCAGATACACAGAACTTAACAAGCATATTACTAGTAACTTCTGAAATTTTCTTCCAGAATAATATATTCATGTGTTTCATGTCATTCTCCTAGATACATAATGTGCCTACAAATACAACAGTTTTGTGTACCAAATTTTAAAACTGCAGAGCCAGCACTGGCATCAAGATACAAAAACAAAAGAAACTCCGTGGCCTGCAGTCCGTTAGCAAACTATACTGACCGAGCGACTGCCACTTGTCGGCGAAGTTAGTGCCAACTTTAGTGGGTAGAGGGTGTCGCGTGGTCAGCACAACGAATCCCCATGGCCATTAATTTCGGTTTTCTAGGCCAGAGCCACTATTTCCTTGAAATAGCTCCTCAGTTATTCTCATGAGGCTGAGTGGTCCCCATTCCAAACCCACTACCTCTCAGAATATCTGGTAGTGCCGGGAATCGAACCCGGACCTCTGGATCTGTAGCCAGGAACTCTGACCACTAGACCACAGAGGCAGTTGGCATCAAGGTACAGTTCCCAGCATATATTTTGATTCACAGACTACTTGACCACCAAAACACTGATGGTAAAAGAAAAAGGATACACACCATTCCGCTCCCATTTTCTTTGACTGTCCTGCCATTTGATATGGTGGCTCTGGCATTCATGTAAGAGAATGTCACACTACACACTGTACATTACATTTGTGTTCGACTTTGTGGTTATGTCTATAGATAACCTCTACTGAAGTGTGTATACACTTTTTGGGACTGCTCTGCATGTTAAGTGAATATCTGTTTCATCTCACCTAATTTAAGGTACTACTACCCATGCATTCCAACTGAGGGGCTGAGGCAATTAATGACAACCTTAGCCATGGTAGATGGTCTTTCCAAGGGCCTCAGAATACAAAGCAGGAGAGCTACCAGTTAACAGCAATGTTCAGTGGGGTTTGGTAAGCATTACATTGACACGTCATATGAAAATGGACAGGAAAAGGAAAAAGTTAATATCAGTACACAAGATAACACAAAATATACCTAATTCATTAATTTCCTTCTTTCTGGTTGCATCACTGTATTACTCATGCTACATCCATATGTCACTGCATGCTCCCTAGAAGTCATCTTCTTCTCTTGTACATACAGTTCCAATAAGACAAAGAAAGCACCTTTTCACTGTTTCAACATTGGAGTTGACTGCTTAAAAGCAATGCTATGTGGAACCCCTGTTTATAATGTAAATACAGTGAGCTGCTGAGATTGTTACATTCAAAATCTTGGTCATACTCTCGAATATGACATGTTACAAATGTAAAACTGATATCCTGCATCACAGCCCAATCATCGTGTCCAGAAAGAGAGAAACCACTGGCATTCAAAATATCTCTTGAGTCTTTCAATTTGCCTGCAATGTCTATTGTTGCAACACCTAAGTATCTCCATAGTTTATACCACGACTGCCTCTTCTTTGTGAAGGACTGCAATGGTGCTGCCATCTTCAAAAATGCTGACTATCCAATGATACCATATGAAAAAAGGAAGGATAACTCACATATCGGATCTTCCCATTTTGTCACAATTAGAACATTCTTTGCTAGTTTCATCTGAAACTTCACATGTTTGGTTTACTGACTTTTTCTTTCCAAATCCAATGAGCTCAGTGTTGCATCAGTTCTCTGATATTTACTAGCTCTGTGGTAAATACTCTTGTGATTTCGTAGACTGTTCAGCGTGCTATACACCTTGTTACAAATGTTGCACACAGGAGTCTTAGTTGGATGGGTATGAACATTCTGAATGTGGCGACGTAACCTCTGAAGAGAGGTCAGATTTTTCCCACACGGCTCGCAACGAAACTCGTCTCCTGCCACATAACCTGACGACAAGAGAGACAATCTCCGATTAGGGAACCAGTAGGTTTTCTATGTGTGTTTGGGTTGGGATGTTATATTTTATAAGAAAATTAATTTAGTCACACACAATTATGTAACTACAGATTCCATGAACAGTTTAGGTATTAATATTATACTTGACTCCTTTCCATTCCTCCTGTAATGTACATCACAGACTTGTTCCATCTACTGTCTTCTAAATAATTCAAGGATTCAAATTCTGTTACAATGAAATCATATTCTTGAATTAAGTTTATCAAAGGCTTTATACTTTCATTTCAATCAATAAACCGATTACCGTATCAAGAGAATTAAAACTAAAATTCCTGTAACACTGTAGCTGTGCCAAAAGATGCATTTATATGTATAATTTGACTCTCAAAGCAACAAAAGTCATCTCGTGTTAAATCAACACAATTTACGGGCAAAATTATCATGACCATCTCTGACCGTAATAAATTTACAAGCATGTTGGGTCTCCTTAGGAAATGGCATATACGAGGTTTTATCATCCTGTGTGCATTAATTCAGATACAGCGTTTTGAAATTTTAGGTTATTCTTATATTTTCCTGAGTCTAATTCACCAAAACTCTGATCCTGATTAAGACAGTGGGCTCATTCGTGTATTAACTGAAAGCTCATAAGTGGGTATTTCATTTGGTATGTCATTCACAAGGTTTTAGGGCACTTGTTGTGACCTTCATTTCTGACCTTAGTATATGAAAAAATGGTCAGGCTTATGCAAGTTTTCCCACAACATTTAGTAACAATTTCAATATATCTTTCAAGATTTTCTGCATGTCAGTGATCTGATTAGGCATGATGAGTTATCTGTGACCTGTAGAGTTATACTGTAGGGCATCATGACCCACCAGACTTTCAGTTCATATATGCCAGCACAGTTAAGTTCTATTTCCTTGCCTGGTAAATTCTGTAGTGGTGTGGTCAAGTGCAAAAGAATTTTTATTTCTACCAAATTTAGAAAGCTGCAAGTGCTACAAGTATCAAAGAGCTTAAAATGTTCCAAAAGTGTTGTAATCCCTTGCCTGTCAGTAACATTACAACTTCCAAGAAAAACCTTAGGCCCGTGTGTGATTGGATGATAAGAAAAGCTCATAGTATCCATAAAGGTCAGAGGGTCTGTGATAAAGGTATGAAAACTAGAGCAAATCTGCCTGAAAGTTTTGGAAATGATGTCTCTCTTCATGCTCAGAACAAGACATAAATGAAATTGAAGGGTGAACACCTGCAAAATCGAGCAGACCAACAATGTTTCTTCCTTGAACAAGACTCTTGGGTCATTAGAAGGGCCACCAATTTCCACTAAACATACCATCACAGGTGAAGTATCTGAAGTAAAAATTCGAAATCAAAGGACCCTTGAAAAGAAATACATACATTTAAATAGACTTCAGTGGTAGTGAAAGTTCACATGAAGGTGATAAAGCAGAACAGTTGAAGGAACAGACGATATAATGAATAGACAGCAGAACTACCATGTAATCTTATAACTTATTCCACATATTGCAGTCGCTTCTGACTAACTTCAAATGAATGAATGAATGAACATATGTATCTATGTATGCAGAGACCTAAATCTTCTGCTGAAAAGGTATACATCCTACTTCGATCACACAACAGTAATCATGTTTCTATAATGAACTGAAGATGAAATTTAAAACTGAAGATATTGCTAATGTATGATTTGAAGCTTCCACAGTGGCTAAAGTTGATAAAATATTGTAGGGCTATGAGCCACATCAGTTCGTTAAAAATTACCAGTGTTTCTGGGACCACCTCTGTAACAGCAAATGTCCTCCACTGGGCCTTTGGTAAACAGAATAATAAGTAGTGGCAGCACTGCCAGTGATGAAATGATGTTGATTCTTGGAGCAGATAAACACAGCCCATGTGATCCACCAGGTTTGGTGCATGCACTGCTAGAGTGCTGCTTCAGGTGTAGAAATTGTTCAGACAGCTACAGCAAAACAGTGAAGCAATGCTGTTACACAGCACCTTATGAAATATATTCCAAACAGGGATGAGTCTCTTTTATAAGGTTCAAGTGGTGCAGGGTAAAATTGCATATCAATGCCATGGAGCATTTCATCAGGCATGTGAAGATGATGTTCTCCCTTACTGTATCATGGCATATTGGGTGCAGGCTTTTAAAAACAGCAGAGAACATAAAAACAAATCATGTACTGGGTGCCCTGTATCAGCAGCAGGAACTGCTGGCAAATGACGGGCATTTCGCACACCAGAAACTTGCCAGACATGGCAGGCATTAGTGGCCTAAAGTTAGTATGCATCCTCCATGATAAATGGAGGATAAGGAATGCTGCAATAAGATGGGTCCTGCACTAGTTGTCCATTCAGGTGTGGGCTTGGAGATAGGACGTGTCCATCTTGAGCAGTACATAATTGAAGGTGATGCATTTTTAGACAGAACACATTGCCTTGGAGAAAACATGAGCATGTCTGTATAAACTGGCAGCATTAATATTCCTTATGTCCCAAGAAGTTCTAAAATGAACAGGTACAACTCAAAGCAACACTTCATGTAACATATATTGTAAGTGTGCTAGTGTATGTCACACAGTTTCACAGAGACAGATGCTGAATTCAAAGTTCTATGCCGATTTTCTTGAATTCCTTTTAAGACCAGCACTCATCAGAAATGTCCACAGTTACTGGCCTCTAGCCAATCTTGCTGTATGGTAAGGGCCCATGTCACATGGTGCAGATCAACCAAGGTCAATTGTAGTGCTGGAACTGGGAGGTGCTGAACCTTCCTCCATACTCTCCTAACATATGTCTGTATGATTATGACCTCTTTTAGAAGAATCACCATGAAGACAAAGATTCTGGTCACAAGATGGTATTCAACATCCTGCAGAGCAGTCTGTAGGACAGCTCAAGATTACCTATGCCACCAGTGAACTATTATATCTTCCAGAGATGTGGCAATGAGTGGAGGACATGGTGACGAAGACTATATTGAAGTTCTCTAATTGAACTTGTGCATTAATAAATATGCATTATTTTGTACCATTGTTTTGCTATTACTTATTTAATGGCATCCATGTCATCACTACTAAATCCTGACTAATACTATAATCACTATTATTTGCATCAAGACTGCAGTAACCATCTGCAAGAAATTAATTTCTTTCCACATAAACAATACAAAATATCCCATGGTAATTAAACCGTAATTTTTCAAGGCTCTTACATGCCATCTACATGGAAAATACTGTAGTACAAAGAGTTCATAAGGAGCTGGGATAGTGCAATCAGTATAGCAATTGGCTATGGGCTGGATGTGAGGAGCCTGGACAGCGCAATCGGTATAGCGACTGGCTACGGACTGGACACCCGAGGGGTCCAAGTTCAAGTCCGGGTGGGGGCAAGAATTTTCTCTCCTCCAAGTTGACCAGACTGGCTCTGGTGTCCACCCAGCCTCCTATCCAATGGGTACTGTGGGCTTCTTCCCCAAACATAAAGCGACAGGGGTGTGAATCTAACCACTCACCTCCAACTAGTGCAGAGGTCAACAAAATGTGGATCTACACATCCAATCCTCCATACACCTTCATGGTATAGTGTTTAATTAGTTAAGCACAGGGACAACTTTACCATTTCTACCTTTACAAAGAGTTCATCACTCACTCTTTGAGTTGAGACCTTCTTGAGAAGCTGCCAATTGTGCAGCTACTCAAGAACTTCCCAGCATTTTATGGAACCCGAAGTTTCATTGCCGTGTTCACAACAGCCCTCCACTGGCCCCTATTCTGAGCCAGATCAATCCAATCCAAACCATCCCATTCTATCGTTCTAAGATCCATTTTAATATAGTCCACACACCTACGCCTTGGTCTTCCCAATGGTCTCTTTCCATCTGGCTTTCCCACCAATATCCTATATGCATTCCACTTCTCCCCATTCGTGCTACATGCCCTGCCCAACTCATCGTCTTTGACTTGAACATTCTAATTATACTTAGAGAAGAGGACAAGTTATGAAGATCCTCATTATGCAGTTTAGTCCAAATATTCTTCTCAATACCCTGTTCTCTAACACCCTCAGCCTATGTTCCTCCCTTAATATCAGAGACCAAGTTTCACACCCATACAGAACCACAGGCAAAATTATGGTTCTGTATATTTTAATATTTACGTTTTTAGACAGTAGACGAGAGGGCATAAGCTTCTTGACTGAATGGTAGCAAGCATTACCCGAATTCAATCGTCTCTTAATTTCCTCCTGAATCAGGTTTCGATCTGCTATCATTGTTCTCAAATATCTGAACTGTGCCACATTTTCTAAACATCTGTTTCCTGTCTTTATGTCATGATTTTGCCCTGAATTTTGGTGACGAGACAGTAACATACACTTAATTTTCTCTGTGCTTACTTCTAGACCAACCTCTTTACTTGCATCAATTAAAGTTTGTGTTTTTCTTTATGGTATCTACATTATCACCCAGTAGATTCACATCATCAGCGTAGACCAACAGCTGATGTGTCCTGTTTAGTTTCAGTCACACCTGGTTTCCCTTGACCTTCCTAATTGCATATTCTAAGGCAAAGTTGAAAAGGAGTGGCAATAAAGCATCTCCTTGTTTTAGACCATTCTGGATAGGTAAATTATCAGACAAATGTTTACCTATACGGACTTTACTATATGTTTCCTTTAAACACGTTTTAATCAGCCTAACTTGTTTCATGGGTAATGTCAACTCTATCAGGATATTGTACAATACTTCCCTCCTAAGTGAATCATAGGCTTTCTTGAAGTCTACAAATAGCTGATGTACTCTCTTACTGTACTCCCATTTCTCCTCCAGTATCTGATGAATGCAAACAATCTGATCAGTAGTTTATCTGTTACGTCAAAACCCACACTGATGATCCCCAATAATTTCATCTATGTGTGGACTTAACCTTGAGTGAAGAATATTTGACAAAATTCAGTATGAAG